GCCCTCCAGTATCGTGTACACCACGCAGACTCGCCCCGGACAAGCTGAAATTTGCTAAGCTCGAGTTCGAGGCAATGTTGGCAAATGGAACTGCTCGACCTTCCCAGAGCCCCTGGTCGTCACCACTACACCTCGCTCCCAAAAAGGACAATGGTTGGCGACCATGCGGTGATTATCGCATGCTCAACGCCCGGACAGTGCCAGATAAGTACCCTATCCGACACATACATGACTTTGCCCACAATTTATCTGGTTGCAAAATTTTTTCAACCATAGATCTGGTGAAGGCGTATAACCAGATACCAATCTTTGAGGCCGACATTCCCAAATCCGCCATTACGACACCTTTTGGACTCTTCGAGTTCCCATATATGACGTTCGGATTGCGCGGAGCTAGTCAGACGTTCCAGAGGTTCGTTGATGAGATGACCCGTGGTCTAGATTTTTGTTACCCATACCTTGACGATTTTCTTATATTTTCACGCGATGAGTTAGAGCATGAAAAGCACCTTCGTCAAGTATTTACAAGGATGAAGGATTACGGCATGCTCATCAACACCGCTAAATGCGTTTTCGGTGCATCAGAGGTAACATTTCTAGGCTACAACATCTCACAACATGGAACGAAACCTCTGGAAGGTAAAGTTCAGGCTATAAAGGAGTACCCTGTTCCTAAGACAACCAAACAGCTTAGGAGGTTCTTGGGCATGATAAACTTTTATAGGAGGTTTATCCCCCAAGCTGCCAAAATCCAAGCACCCTTGAACGCCTTATTGACTGGCGCTGTTAAAGCATCGCATCCGGTCAATTTAAATGGAGACTCGTTGAAAGCCTTCGAAGAGTGCAAGGAAAGTTTATGCAATGCAGCATTGTTGGCACATCCTGACTCAAAGGCAAAGCTAGGTCTGACGCTTCTGATCTTGCAATAGGTGGAGTCTTGCAACAGCAAATTGGTGGTGATTGGCAGCCCCTAGCCTTTTTCTCTCGTAAATTGAGCCCGTCGCAAAGGAAATACTCACCATACGATAGGGAGCTCCTTGCTGTTTACGAGAGCATTAAGTACTTCAGACATTGGCTAGAGGCAGCACCATTCACCATCTATACCGACCATAAGCCGCTGTGCTTTGCATTTCGCGAACGAAAGGCAAATTGCAGTCCACGGCAATTTAGACATCTAGACTACATATCACAGTTCTCAACCGACATACAACACATCGCCGGGAAAGATAATATCGTTGCTGGCACGCTTTCCCGGATTGAGCAGGTCGATGAACTGCTAAGCCCTGTAGATCTAGATGTCATTGCCAAGGCTCAAGACTCCGATCCTGAATTTGCAGATTTGTTAAAGCAGGACACTTCCTTACAAGTTCAAAGAATAAAGATACCTGGTAGTCGCAATGAACTGTACTGCGACGTCAGCACAACGACTCCCAGGCCTTTAGTCCCTAAAGCCTTACGCAAGCGAATTTTTGATAGCTTGCACTCGCTAAGCCATCCCGGCGCTAACGCTAGCGCAAAACTTGTGGCAGAACGCTTTGTCTGGCCACTGATGAGGAAAGACTGTCGCGAATGGTCTAAGGCGTGTTTGGCATGCCAGCGCACAAAGGTAAATCGACACGTTTCGACGCCTTTTGGTACGCTCGATTTACCTACGGCGCGATTCAAATACGTCCACTTAGACCTTATCGGACCTTTACCTCCGTCTGGTGATTATCGGTACTGTTTGACAGCTGTCGATCGCTTCATGCGATGGACTGAAGCTGTACCACTAAAGGATATCACCGCGGAATCAGTGGCTAAAGCGTTTTTATCGGGATGGATAGCGCGGTTCGGTTGCTCTACCGATATTGTTACCGATCGCGGCAGGCAATTCGAATCAGCACTATTCGCGCAGTTATCAAGGTTCATTGGCTTTAAGCACCGCAGGACTACCAGCTATCACCCTCAATGCAATGGTCTCGTCGAAAGATTTCATCGGCAATTAAAAACAGCAATCATGTGCCATGCCAATAGCAGTTGGACTGAAGCTTTGCCAATTGTGCTTCTCGGCATAAGAAGCTCTTTCAAAGAAGATCTTCAGTCTTCCTCAGCCGAGTTAGTATACGGCGAGCCATTGCGACTTGCTGGTGAATTTTTTGGCCACAAAGTTGACAAATGTACGACTGACATAACGGACTTTTCAGCCCGTATCAGATCATTTGCCAATAAGTTACAGCCAGTGCCAACTTCGCACCATGCGAAAAACAAAATCTTTATTTATAAAGATCTAACATCTTGTTCGCATATTTTCCTCAGAGAAGATAGTTTGAGAGGTGCGTTACAACCAGCATATACTGGTCCTCACGAGGTGGTTGAGAGAAATAAAAAAACTATTAAAATCAGAGTAAAGGGCAAAGTCGTGACAGTATCGGTAGACCGACTGAAACCAGCCTACATACTGTCCCACTCCAATGATCCCACTCCAACTCCTTCTCCACCACTTAAACCAACTCCTAATCCCACACCCACTCCACTTCCAAATAGCAGCCCATCGTCAACAACTGCGTGCAAAACAACTCGTTCTGGGCGCAGAGTACATTTCCCAGATTATTATCGCCCGTAGACACGGTCTCTGGAGGGGAGGGATGTGGCGACGCACACATTTATTTATTTTATTTAAAGATATGATTATTATTTCACAGATATGTATGTATATAATTTAATATTAATATTATAATATTTATTATATTTATATTTATCTATAAGACAGTTACAGTCACACACACATATATATTATACTATTTCTATTTATTATAGTAAATTTTATTTAAGTATTGTATTATAGTATAATTCTCGGTGCCGGCCGGTCGAAGTACATTGGAAACAAACATTCCTTTTAATTATTATCTGTACCTGAGTACTTTGCCTACGACGCGAATCGCGATATGTTCAACGACCAGCCAGTCGCGATCTAATCGTCTGACGTCAATACTGTGCCGCTTGCGCCTACGCCGAACTTTTCCCTTACGCATAACTAATATTATTTGAGTGTTCTTTCCTATTTTATGCAAGTGACTGTAAACTGTGCTTCCTGCTATCATCTCTTATCTATTTGTAATCTCATCTATCGCCTTCTGCTTCTTCATGTGAGACTGTTTCTATGTGTTGTGCCGTGAAATATATAACTGTCTAACCGTAATTTATTTGTTTATTCCGGCGACGGACTTATCATCAGGTACCTTATTTACATAACCTTATTCTCCATAAGTGATATACATTACAATTAAACACTAGGAACAAATACAAGCTAGTGATACCAGTTTCTCGACTCCACAGAGTCAGTAATTCATTCTTGGGGCAATGTATACACTATTACAACAAGGTCCCGGAAAGTGTACAGGCTCTCTTTATTACCAAGTTTAAATGTTTTGTTAAGTTGAAACTGTATAAAAAGGGTTATTATAGTACAAATAATTATATGGTTGATAATAACCCCTGGGAATGAGGTGGTCGCTTCCAAACTGTTTCTAAAATAAATTTTGTACCAAACATTAATGTAAAATATGCTTTAAAAAAAATCCCGCTGGGTTTCTTGCTGGTTCTACCCAGGACAGAGGTTATTTTTTCGAACCAGTGGTAAAGTAAAAAATTACTTTCAATAAGAGTTACACATGTGATCTATATTGAATAAAAAATTATTCTATTCTATTCTATTTTGTTCACCATACTACCTGAGAGACAGACTTTTAAATACATTACCCGCTACACGAGCATACAGTCCACCTGATGGATGCTGTGGCCCATGGACATTTACATTTATCCTCGATTCTGAATCAAAATGCAGACGCGTTTTGCCTTGTGAATGCCTTTTCACTAGTAAAAAGGGCCTCCGGTTCTCTACAATCACCGTACCGCAACACAGCAGCGTTATTTTGCTGTTTCACAGTGGTGTCATGCATATATTGCTGCAGCGTGGCCCTACCACATAAAAAATAATTAAACGTAATTCTATAAGTTACAATACGTGTATTATGTAACTAATGAACTGACCTTGCAATATGTCTTATGTTATATCACTTATGTTTACAAAGCATAATAAACCTTGTAACAATTCTTAAAGACTGCTGATTTTAGTTTTATTAGAACAATTTCAACAAAAACGATTGTTTTAGTGACCTCTTCATCTTTATTCAATTTTTGAAATTCCCGTTTCGGGTGCTTTGTGTTATGTGTACCGTACATGGTCACGAAAGTCTAAGGTGTTTGACGTCCCAATGTCATAGTTAACGAAGGCTACATTCAGCTTTTAAATACAAGTTTCACTGCTGGATATTGGCCTCTCGTGTTGTAGGAAGGATTCTTAGTAGGCGTATTGACGATCACAGCACCAGACGTCTAGCTTTTTATTCTTCACCATATATCGCAAATCACGAAATAATTCTGGCATATCCCATAGTCGCCTTTTACAATATTGAAATATGCTCTTTACAGATTTTAAACGTTTGTCAGACAATAATAATAAAAAAATAATAACAATATAACAAAGGATTATCTATACAAATAAATAAAATTGAAGTTTCTGTTTGTAATGTGAAAATAATAGCTTTTTACTAAATACATATTAAAGTATACATACGAATCTTATAACTAAAACAAAACTTTTAAAATTTAAATCTGTCTGTTTGTTCCGGCTAATTTCCAAAACGGCTGGACCGATTTTGACGGGACTTTCACTAGCAGATAGCTAATGTTGTAAGGAGTAACTTAGGTTACTTTTATTTTAGAGAAATGATTAGCAGTCCGCGCAAAAAAATAAAACCAATAAAATCCAATCGTAATAAATTCCACGCGGACAAAGTGGCGGGATCCAGCTAGTTATCTAGTAAAATAGAATTATATAGGCACAGATTATAGCTTATGCCTACATATACGGTTATGAAAAAAAAAGGTTGTGTGTTATTTTAAATAAAAAATACAATAAATTTTAACGGTTTTATCAACAACAATCAAAAATTATTTTTTTAGTAAACGGCATTGCCACCGCATCCACAACCAAGAGCAGATCCCGGCCAACCGGGGGCATATCCAAGACCGTTGGCTACTGGGCCGTAGCTAAAACCATTTGCTGGCTAACCCAATCCAGCACCACTCGGCGAAATCTCCTCGCTAACAATTCCCACATTTCCATTTCCACAACCATACGAGACAGCACCAGCTCCATTATTGAGCAGAACACCTTCCAATCCAATTGTGCCTAAAAATGGCAGTTCACCTCCGACAGCCAGGATACCATCGATTGCGTTTTCAGATATTACGGAGACCCCGTAAGGTTGAACTGGAGACGCACTTAAGATACCAAAACCACCGCCGTACGAGATGGGCGAAGCAGCGAGGTCATATGCTCCCAAGAATGAGACTGGAGAAGTGCATGGGGCAGCAGTTTCATAAGCATAACCTGGGGTTGTCCAACCCAAACCTTCTACAGGAAAGCCTGATACCCATGCAGGATTATTACAATATGCAGAAATTGTCTGTAAAATAAAACATCATTTATATTGCTTTAATAATTATTAATCATAATATATGTGATAGAGCCAAGTTGCAATTATATTATGGGTTTTGCACGAATAGGCCTACTCTACCGAAGACGGACCACGCTTTCTCATAATACCAGCGTGAAATAACAGCGTATTGCTGCTGCGTTTTGTAGTCTTTTTACTAGAAACGAGGCAGTCTATCTCAGGCCCCAGGCTCATAACACATTCTGCATTTTGATTCTTAATCCAGAATAGATGCAGATATCTTAGGGTCACAGAATCTACTTACCATCAGGTGGACTGTCAGCTGGTTTGTCATCCTCATTCTATTAAAAAAACATAGCACTACACTGTTATAAAATTTGCACGGCTCAGTTGCATATAGATTGGCTACAGCACTGTTGGGGCGCGAATTAGAACGTCGCGTCGGATAAAATAAGCAATTGTATGAACTACAAATAATGTTCGTTTTCATTCTAAATATTTGCCCATTCGCAATTTAAGAGGTAACGTATTGTATATAAAAAAAGAAATATATTAACATATTTCTTTTTTTTTGTCACTGCCGTTGATAGTTTTACTAAAATTACAGCTAATTCTAGGTATTAACATCATCAATTGATATAAATATATAATTAAATTTAATAACAGGTATTTATTAACTTTAAAAGAGAGCTGACTGTGAGCTCTAGTCTCTTAAGCTTCCAGGCGGCTATTCTCAGTAGAGGTTTTTTGACGTAAATAACAGATTTTATAGATATTAAAGTGAACATAATATTGTAGTTTTTGAATTATGTATATATAATAATATATATTATGGAATGATACCTTAAAAAGAAAAATTTGCGCGCAGAAAAGGAACAAAGTTTTAGATGCCATCACTTCTATATATTTATAACGAATAATAATTAAAACAACTACAATGAATAATACTGACTATAATAATTTAATAAACTTTCCCTCAAGTATTTATACTAAAATATTCCATGCCCTTACCAATATTAAAAAATGTTAAGAAAGGACAATGTCCAAAACCGCCCTGTGTAATAAAAACATCGGACATACACGATAATTAATTTTCTATTTTATTATATTAGTTGCAAATACTTTTATAACACGGACTAGCTGCATGCAAAAATGAACATTAAAAAGTATTATATTCGACTAATAACGTTAACCGCCGCCATCTTCGCCAAACATCATGTGTTGTCGAAAAATGATTAGGGATGCCCAATCGATTGTAATCGATTTTTGAAATTTTATTGAACTGTTGTATATTTTTTAATCTGAATTACATTTTAATTTATTTCGAATAAAGTTGCTAAAAGAAACTACAATAATAATATTATATTACCATTTCTTTATATTCTTTTATATTATTCCCTAGAAGTATAATTTTAAAAACCTACTATACCTATTGAATGTCATACTCGATTTTAAATAGGTAGTTAGAATATTGCTAAAGAAAAATATTCGTAAAGATAATTATTCAGGATTTTCTAATGATCGTTTAGACAGAAGTATATTTTACGTCTTACTAAACGATAATTTACGAGTGTACGACAATTAATTAAAAAAAAACTGTTATCGTTACTGCATCAATTATAAATGTGTTTTTTTTAAAGAGCAATATTGCAGACCAGATACAGATATTATTATTAATATTGTTACAAGTATGGAAGAAGTAGAGATGTACGTGTTATTATAAGTAAAGTAGGACAGTGTTATGGTATTAATATTATCGTATGACAAAAGATGATGTATACTATATAGATGGTATACTGTTTGTAACGTACGGCTATAATAAATCTTAGGAAATATTCATAAGTCGTATCGTATTTGGCGCTCCTATTTTTGTTGTCACTAAATGGTCACTTGTCAGTCTCTCACGAAAAAAATACGATCTCAAAATCGATGCAAATCGAACATACTAGAATCGATTCTCGATTAAATCAAGTATTAACAGATCTATTTTTGATCAATCGCGACATTTTCAAACATGCCTAATATAGACACAGAACATTATTGACGATAACTTACTGTAAATTAAAGTAACTGTATAGAAAAATCATTAAATTAATAAATATATCATTACGCCAGTATTTTCCAGAAGCAGTAGGTAGAGGTGTGTAAGTACTGTTATGTTATACATCCCATGTAATAGGGGATGCGCGTATTGCCAAACACCGGACATAAATCCAGACTCCGTGCTACTACTGGGAACTTCAAGTTATAAAAACCCAATAATAATTTGCCCGACCCTGGGATCGAACCCAGAACAGAACAGTTTTTCTGTCTGTCACAAGGAACAGATGTTCCAACTATGCAAAAGTATTTCTTGAATCGTTTGAAATATAGCTAGTTCTTGAATAAGTCCGATTCGAGAGGTTTCTGTATCGACATCGGACAAGGATTCTTCAGATCTATATCGATCTGGAAAATCGATTCTGTTACTATAAACAATCGATTAAACGATTTCAAATGGACATGCCTACTTTGTACCGTCATCTCTAATTCTGTCAAAGTTACATTGGTTGGCGTCGTTTGCAATTTTAATTGTCTTTGTACATAATTGTATCGGTCTTGTAGTGATTTTCGGGCCTATATATTGAACATTACGACTTGGCTATTTTAATGGACTCTGATTGCTTTCAAGAAGGACTTACCTTACTGTGATTTTTGGAACTATGTACCACTCAAACGATAACCTAGCATTCATAAAAGGACTGACGCATACGCAATGGAAAGTGTATTTTGTGTAAATAGCGGCCCTGCTGGTGGTACAATATTGTTTAAAGATGAACAGAGAAGCAATCGTGCAATATTGCTGTAATTGCATCGTTGTACGCAGAACCATCGGTTGCTGCGCCCATGTTATGACCATTATTTGGTACTTCAGCTTTACGAGACATCAAAATAATATCGACATCCCTGCACAGTTTTTAGACAATATTCTTATTTCCAATTTAGAAAATGAACAATAAACATGAAATTAATCTGTGTTTTATTTCTAATTCAAACATAATAAGTTAATGTACGTGTAAAAACAACTTATACTACCAATTAGGTACTAATTCGGTAGGGCTGGTTTAGTAGTAGTAGTCTATAATATTCACGCTGTTCATGCGCGCGCTGTTGAAACTTGGTTGAAACCGTGGTTGATACGCTCGCTGTTCGACGGCATGTCTAGCGGTGTGACTGACAGCCTAAATCCTTATACATTTAGGTACTAGGTATCTTACCGTACCGTATATGCTAATGACAACATCTAAATGCTAACAGCCATTATATACATATATTTTATATTTACATTAACACACACAAACATTATCTCTCATTTCAAAACCAATGCTCAGAAAGCAGGTTTGTTAACTACATTCTATGCATTTATACGTTGCACTTACATACACTTAGGCTTTAGAACAAAAATTGCATACCTAATTATGTAGATAGGTACTAGAAATAGCTAAATGTTTTAGGACATCGTTTTTCAGTTTGTTAAAAATCACTCGGATCTCTGAAAAACCGTAATATTCATGGTTCGATTATAACCTCAAAATCTGATACTTTTTTTGAAATATATTTATTATGCAGCTAGTCCGCTATAAAAATAAGATCAAATAGGAATTTACTAACGATCAACAATAAAATACATAATTTTCTGATGCTCTTGGTTCCAGGGCGAACAATGTATGGGCGCAGAGCAATGTCCTTTATTACTTACAAGTATTATAAGAAACATGTTATGTCATAATTAGTAATGACATTTCATTTACAGTTTTATAAGTTATGTAAATCATGCAAGTAATCTTAAAAAGTAGTAGTAATCGTAAAAAAATGCTTGTAGGCTGTCCCTTCACGGTTCTCTGAAAGATGTTAGTCGCAGTACTCTTGTCTCTATTAATGTTCCCTCAATTTAGAGCCTTGTGGAATGACGACTGACGACTGCTTGGTAGAGAGGCAAATACCTAGTATGTGCGTAGACATTTTGGCAATCTCTCATCCCACGGGTAGCAGGGAAACCGGGGTGGCATCGGCAACAAAGTAAATAGCGCAAGTATTTTACGTAGTAGAGCCATTCTACGGCTATTTTATGGTTTTAGCATGTATGAATCGGCTCGAACAGAACCTGATTTTTTACTGTAAATGAGGCATTCCATCTTAGTCTTCTGTGGTTACAACGCATCTGCCATATGATTCTTAATCAATAATAGATATAGATGTCTATGGGCCACAACATCTATTTATCATCAGGTAGTCTGTGCTCATTTGTCCCCCTTATTCTATGATAAACAGTATGAGTCTCAGAGGAATGAGTGCCTTTTTCTGTAGGGACTATCGGTACATGGGATCCACAAATGGTGCAGTTCCTAAAGGAACTGTATCCCCGAAATGTTAGTAGCTGTACCCGTAACTTTGGCATATTACAATCTTTTAATCGGTTGAATTAAAACCCAGCAATTTTCTCAGTTTTAATCTTTATTCTATATAGACCTAACTAAAATTTCTTAAACTACTAACTGGTACCCGGCGCGTTGCTGCCTCAGAAGAAATAATTGTTGAAATATCGTTTTAAATTTGGAAGAGTTATCTTGTATAATTAGGAACGATAATACATTAAATTAGGTTGAATGATATATATAACATTCAATAAAATTTTTCGGTACGATGCGCGCGCCAACTACTGTAAGTTAATTATTGCACTATACCTATAACCTTCACGGAAGTGCAAGCAATAAGTTAACATAGATTTAATGTAATCTGATAAATGAACAAACATTATTTTTTATAAATTAGTTAATACCGCTGTGCCAACTCTAATAGCAATTTATGATTTTCTTTTTTTTTTTTTGCTTACTCTATAATTTTGTACCCATGTTACGTTTTTTGAAAAATAAATGAATTATTATGATAAATAGAAAAAAAACCTAGTAACGTAGATATTCAATGAGTTAGACCCTTGTTGCAGCTATATTAATTGTACAGTTGTAGCACGAATGGGTCCGCTCGACTGGGGTAGGGCTACGCTCTCACAGAAGACCAGCGTAAAGTTTTATACGTGGTAGAGCCATGCTGCAGCTATATTTCTGGTATAGTTGTAACACAAATGGGTCGGTTCGACCGGGGAAGGACTACGCTCTCACAGAATACCAGCGTAAAATAGCAGCTTAACGCTGCTGTGTTTCGTATGGTGGGTGTAGAGAACTTGAGACCCTTTTTACTGGAAACGACACATTCAGTCCTCACGCAGCAACCACTTACCATCAGGTGGACTGTGTGCTCGTTTGTCACCCTTATCCTATAAAAAAAATAGCAGCTGCTGTGTTTCTTATAAATGTAGATAACTGGAGACCCTTTTTAATTGAAATGAGGCATTCCTGCATAGTCCTTAGAGGTGATGGCGCATCTGCATTTTGATTCTTAATCGAGTATAATTGTGTACAAGTCTATGGGCTACCGCATCCACTTACCATCAGGTGGACAGTGTGCTCGTTTGTCGCCCTTTTGTGCGCCTAAGTGAGGGGTTAATAATCACACTCATTTAAACAATCTAAAAGATTTTTAGGTTAAAGACTTCTATAATATGGAGGGAACGATATTTTACTTTTGTGATTTTTGGATCACAAAATAATTCTATATCTACTCTATGTATATGTTATGCTATATCATCGTCAATTGTAAAATTAATTTCATTAGTTCATTCCTTCAATAAAGCCTATCAAAATTTGACTGTTGAACATAGGCCTGAGAGGGGATGTTCCATAATTTTTGAATGGGTCGGCTCGACTGGGGAAGGACCATGCTCTCACACAATACCAGCGTAAAATAGCAGCTTAATGCTGCTGTGTTTCGTATGCTGAGTGTAAGTAGTTAACCGG